AGACAGACAGACAGACAGACAGACAGACAGACAGACAGACAGACAGACAGACATGGATTGGTCAATGGATGATAGTGTTTGTAGGTTTTATGGAGTCTAATTAATCTTGTTCTGTTTGTAAATTTGTTTTGTTATAAAGGAGTTATTTGTTGGAAATTCCACTATTTATTTCTATCAGTTTCACTGTGTGAGAATTACACTCTGATGTGAATTAAATAGAATTTAATTATTTTAAGGTTTAAAAACTTTATTACAGTCAAAGACCAACATAATGAATGTGGGGTGTATTCAGCTGAAAACTACAGACATCAAAGTGTAATAATAGTAATTATACTAAAAAGCAAAGACATAAAAGACAGTATATATAAAAACAGGAGTCTAACTGAAACTGATAGATAGTATTTAAATTTAGTAGCTGGGGGAGTGGTTGTGCGATAAGCCAGAACACACAGCTGTGGTTGACTGGTGGCTGCTGCGTGAGGCGATCTGCGCTGTGATTGGCTACTGTGAGGGTGGAGGGGAAGTTTCCTTGTTTTCCTGCCTTTTTCTTCTGTGGGCTTTGTATGCTGTTCTGTGATTTACCTCATGATGCTCGTTTGTTTAACAGAGGGATACAATCGAGAACAAGTGAAGTTCTAATACCACCCTATAAAGCCTTAGTAAAACCACAGCTAGAATACTGCATCCAGTTTTGGTCACATTATAAAAAAGATGTTGAGACTCTAGAAAAAGTACAAAGAGCAACCAAGATGATTAGGGGACTGGAGGCTAAAACATACGATGAATGGTTGCAGGAACTGGGCATGGCTAGTCTAGTTAAGAGAAGGACCAGGGGAGACATGATAGCAGTCTTCCAATATTTGAGGGGCTGTCACAGAGAGGAAGGGGTCAAGCTATTTTCCAAGGCACCTGAAGGCCAAACAAGGAAGAATGGAAACTGAACAAGGAGAGATTCAACCTAGAAATAAGGACAAATTTTCTGACAGTGACAACAATCAACCAATGGAACTTGGTTTGCCTTTGGATGTTGTGGGAGCTTCATCACTGGAGGATTTCAAGAAGAGATTGAACTGCCATTTGTCAGAAATGGTGTAGGGTCTCCTGCTTGGGAGGTGGGGTTGGACGAGATGACCTACAAGATCTCTTTCAGCTCTGTTAATCTGTAATCTAGTTTGCCATATATACAGTTGTAAAATATATTTATACATAGAACTACAAGTTCATGTCAACGTCTCTGACTTCATTTGGACACCTGCTGCACAGTCCCCTGACAGGAACTAAACGGGCAGAAAGCCATAAGATGCCTGGAGGCTGCATGAAGTTTAGCAAGTGGCGAACTAAATCTATCACTCTACAGAGCAAATTATAGGATGAGCTGGAGGCTCCTTAAGAATGTTTTATGGTGCAGGTCATCCATCGTAAGACTATTTCTAAATATTGCCCCGCAGAAATGTGGCAACATTATACAGGCAATCCTTGACATACAACACTTAGTGACCATTCAGAGTTACAACCGCATTAAAAAAAGTGACTTATGACTGTTTTTCACAGTTATGAACATTGCAACATCCCCATGGTCATGATTTACATTCAGATGCTTGACAACTGTCTCACATTTATGATAGTTGCAGTGTCCTGGGGTCATGTGATCACCTTTTGCAACCTTGGAACAGCTTGCACTCGGAAGTTGTGGGAGCGCCATCACTTGAGACTTTCAAGAAGAGATTAGACTCCCATCTGTCAGAAATGGTGTAGGGTCTCCTGCTTGAGCAGGGGTTGGTCTAGATGACCTACAAGGTCCCTTCCAACTCTGATTATCTGTTATCTGTTAACCTTCTGACAAGCAAAGTCAATGGAGAAATCAGATTCACTTAACAACCGGGTCACTAATTTAACAACTGCATGATTCACTTACCAAATATGGCAAGAAAAGTTGTAAAATAGGGAAAAATTCATTTAACAAATTTCTCACTTGGCAATATAAATTTTGGGCTCAATTGTGGTCGTAAGTTGAAGACTACCTATATTCCAACAGCATTTGCATATCAAGTTCAACAATCTTTACATGTGAATTTTTTGTGCTCTTCTCACTGCCCCAAACCTCCCTCAAATATTCTCCATTTTGTGCTTCACTATTCACAATCTGAACAAGGATTCTTCTTGCCCTGAATTTCTGAAAATATTAGGAAATTTAAACTCTGAAGCCTCTTTACTTCTCTTCTCCTGTCACTTCATATTTGAGGAGCTACAATTGGTAAGTAAATCAGAGTGCTCCTATCTCCTAATATATATTTTTCAGGATCTGAAGCAGATTCCTAAAAACTATGTATTGGTTTTCTATTATCTCTATTGTTCAACATGCAAAAACATTCCCAAAAGCCTTTTGGTTGTAATTATTCTATTTTTGCAAAAGGGAATAGCCAATAGATTTTCCTGATAGCCAAACACAAAAGTAGTTAATCTTGATCAAGTTAACATTATCCGTTTTCATTTCTTTTCTTTCCTCCCTCATGCCTGAGACATGTTCAGCTAAACAGAATTAAACCAGAAATTAAATAATTTCTCAGGTGAACTTGCAAAGGCAGATCAGAAAAGAAATTCAAGCCTTCTCTTTACTCATCATCTGATAGGTCAAGTGGATTTTCTTATGTTTAATAAGGGTAGACGTTTGTGAGAAGCACTTTCCACACTCTGGGCACTTGAAAGGTTTCTCACCTGTGTGTAAGCCTACATGATTTATAAGGTTAGTCCTAGTACTGAAACCTTTCCCACAGTCAGGACATTCATATGGCTTCTCCCCTGTGTGAGTCCTCTGATGTATCACCAGTCCAGAATACCAACTGAAACATTTTCCACAGTCCTGACATTCATACGGTTTCTCCCCTGTGTGAGTCCTCTGGTGTATCATCAGGTTGGAATTCTGATTGAAACTTTTCCCACAATCTGGACACTCATAGGGTTTCTCTCCAGTGTGAGTTCTCTGGTGTTTTACAAGGTTGGAATTATTACTAAAACTTTTCCCACAATCAGGACATTCAAAGGGTTTCTCTCCTCTGTGAGCCCTCTGGTGTATCATCAGGTTGGAATTACGAAAGAAACATTTCCCACAATCTGGACACTCATACCGTTTCTCCGGATTATGAGTCCTCAGGTGTTTAACAAGGTTGGAATTCTGACTGAAACTTTTCCCGCAATTGGAACATTCATATGGTTTCTCTCCTGTGTGAGTCCTCTGGTGTGTCATCAGGTTGGAATTATGACTGAAACCTTTCCCACAGTCTGGACACTCATATGGTTTCTCCCCTCTGTGAGTCCTCTGGTGTTTCACAAGATTGGAATTATGACTGAAACTTTTCCCACAATCTGAACATTCATAGGGTTTTTCTCCTGTGTGAATCCTCTGATGTACTGCAAGGGCAGAATTCTGACTGAAACTTTTTCCACAATCCGGACACTCATATGGTTTCTCCCCTGTGTGAGTCCTCTGATGTATCATCAGGATGGAAATATGACTGAAACCTTTCCCACATTCTGGACACTCATACACTTTCTCCCCTGTGTGAGTCCTCTGGTGTATCGTCAGGATGGAATTATGACTGAAACTTTTTCCACAGTCAGGACACCCATAAACTTTCTCTCCTACATGAGTCCTCAAGTGATTCACAAGGTTGGTATTACGACTGAAACTTTTCCCACAATTGGGACACTCATATGGTTTCTCTCCTGTATGAGTCCTCTGGTGTATCACCAGGTTGGAATTGTGACTGAAACCTTTCCCACAATCTGGACACTCATACACTTTTTGCCTTGTGTGAGTCTTCTGGTGTGTCACCAGGTGGGAATTCCGACTGAAACTTTTTCCACAATCCCAACACTCATACGGTTTCTCTCCTGTGTGAATTCTCTGGTGTGTCACCAGGTGGGAATTTTGACTGAAGCCTTTCCCACAATCTGGACACTCAAAGGGTTTCTCTCCTGTGTGTGTCCTCTGGTGTGTTACCAGGTGAGAATTCCGACTGAAAGTTTTCCCACAATCAGAACAACCAAATGATTTCTCCCCCATTTCAGGCCTCTTTTGTGTCAGTAGGGTAGCATGTTTCCTAAAGCTTGTGCCACACTGAGGACAGAGGGTGGGCTTTTCTTCAGTGCGGTTCCTCTTGTGTATAATCAGGTGTGATCTGCAATCTGTACATTTCCCACATCTGCATATATATGGTGCTTTTCCACTAATGGTATTTTTGGATTCTCAAGGTCAAAAATATTTTGGATCCCTTCTTGGATGTTGCTTTCATTCAAGCTATGCTTTCTTAACAGGGCAAGGCTTGCATGACTGGCTGTCCAATGTCATTTTAGAACTGATCTCTTCCTTCCCACTGATTTCTGGATTATTTCCCTTTTTCTGAATTTGCAAATTATCCCCTCTTTACCTTTTTCGGGGGTGTTTCCTTGAGTTCCCCAGACTCAGTTTTTTCCAGCTCAAAATTATCTTCCCGTTATTCTCTCCTTTGTCTGACACCTTCCTGAGGACGAAGAATTTTGTAGTTTTCTGGAGGAGGCGGAAACGACTTTCAATGCTGGCTTCATTTTCTTTCTTTTTTAATGCTGGTTTAGATTCTCACTTGTCTGGCATTCTCTTCCTGGTATCCTCTTTGTCTATAAAATGGACATAAACCCACAGTTTAATGGTTGTTTATAAAGTTGCTGCAGAACATGTGAGAACAGCAAGAGACAAAAGCATGCAGTATAATGAAAAAGCAAACATACCAAAATGCTACTTTAATCTCCAACATTAACTATTTGACACATAGGAGACTAGCTAGATCCAAGTTCAAATATCCACACAAATATTAAATTCCGTTTTGGATTTCAGTAAATCACAAACTCTTAGCATTACAAACTTTTATTTTCAAACATATGAGCGAATGCTGAGGACAGATTATACAGATTAGCCACAGCTAAATATTTCCCTATCAGTCATGTCTGACTCTAGGGCACAGTGCTTGTCGCCATTGTCTTATCTGTATAGTACAGGCCACTCAACCAAGCAGAAGAAACAGGTGAACATTTTGATAACCTGTTAATAAATGTATGTTGGAAACACACCAAAATAGTAATGGGGGACTTTAACTAGCCTGACTTCAATTAGGTGACAAAGAGAGACAGCTATACTGGACCTAATTCTTACTAACACAGAATAAGTGATAGAGGGAGTTGAAGTTGCTGCAACTTTGGAGCAGAGTGACCACGTCATATTGAAATTTAATATAATTCAAACACAAACTATAGAACATATCAAACCAGTGTCTCAAATTTCAAAGGGGATGATTTTAACAAACTTAGAGAGAGCTTGGGAAGGATTCTAGAGATGAAAGTCTTAAAAGGGAAAACAACTCAACAACGTTGCAAAACTCTGAGAAATATGGTTATAAAAACCTAGTCCACCTCAATACCACGTAAAAAGAAAAACAAAAAATCCAAGAATAAACCAGCATGGTTATACAAAGAACTCCCTGATAAAATGAAAGACAAAAGGGATAAGTACAAAAAATGGAAAGAAAGACATATAACTAAGGCAGAATACAAACAAATAGCCCGAACTTGCAAAGATGAAGTCAGAAAAGCTAAGGTTCAGAATGAAATAAGTCTTGCAGCAAATGTCAAAAATAATTTTAAAAGTTTCTTTCAACATATACAAAAATTTTTAAAAAGTCAAGGAAAAAATTGGTCCACTAATGAGAGAAGATGGCAAGGAAGTAACAGGCAGCAGAGAAAAAGCAGAGCTACTCAATTCATTTTTGCATCTGTCTTCACACAAAAAGATAATACAGCCCAACCTACCAAAAACATAACCATAAAAGACAGACTAGGAATAAAATTAAAAGAAGCAACAACAACAAAATAGCAAAAGATATACCTGTCTGCTCTAGACAACTTCAAATCACCAGGACCTGATAGGTTACATGCCACAGTTCTGAAGGAAGCTGGCAGATGTGATCTCAGAACCACTGAACCATATCTTTCAAAGATCTTGAATTACCAGGAACTACCAGACTGGAAAAAAGCTGATGCGGTTCCCATCTTCAAAAGAGGGAGGGGGAAACAAATCCAGGAAACTGCAGACCAGTCAGACTAACATTAATACCTGGGAAGATACTGGAGAAAATAATCAAGCATCAGATCTGTTAATACCTTGAAGTAAGTAAAGTTATAACTAGAAGCCAACACCGGTTTGTCAAAAACAGATCATGTCAAACAAATCTTATTTCATACCATTTTATAAATCCTTAGTAAGACCACACTTCAAATATTGGATACAGATTTGGTCACCATATTATAAAAACCAGGTAGAAACTCTGGAAAGAGTGCAGAAAAAAGCAACAAAGATTATTAGGAAGCTAAAGCATATGAAGAATGATTGCAGTAATTGGGTTTATGCAATCTAGAGAAAAGAAGGACTAAGGGTGACATGAATGCAGTATTCCAGTATTTGAGAGGTTGCCGTGAAGAGGAGGGGGTCAACTTATTTCCCAAAGCACCAGAAGGCAAGACAAGAAGCCATGGATACAAACTAATCAAGGAGAGAACCAAACTAGAACTAAGGAGAGATTTCCTAACAGTGAGAACAATGGAACAACTTGCCTCCAGAAGTTGTGTGTGCTCTATCACTAGAGGCTTTTAAGAGACTGGACAGCCGCTTGTCTAGAATGGCATAGGGTCTCCTGCTTGGACTAGAAGATCTTCTAGGTCGCTTCCAACTCTACTATTCTGTTCTTTTGCTTCTTGGCCCACGAAGCCAGCGTTGTCCAAAGACAATTTCAGGGGTCATGCAGCTAGCATGCCTCTACACCAAAGGCACATAGAACTCTATTACGACATCAGAGTGGTATCTATTAACCAACTTGTATATGCATGTTTTCAAACTGCTAGGTTGGTAGGAGCTGGGGCAAGTAATGGGAGCTCACTCTGTTGCATGGAGCTCTGGTCTCAAACCCCAGCTGTCAGCTCTTTAGCTGGAAAGCTCAGCATATTTAACCACTACACCCCCACCCCCTGTACAGATATGCACACAAACAAATATACTTACCAGCAAGATTCAAGTTCAAATATTCACACAAGCATTAAATTCTCTTCTGGACTTCAGCAAATCACAAATTCTTCGCATTGCAAACTCTTATTTTCAAATATAGTGGGACATACAGATATGCACGCAGAGACAAATACAGGTACACCTACCAATGTAAGTATGTTAAAAGTCCATGTGTATTTCAGTAGCAAACATTTCCCAGAAGCGGCTACGCTCAAACTTTTCAGTCTCGTTTTAGAGGAAGAGAGGGCTTCAATAGACGAGGACTTCAACCGATTAAAAAAAAGCGCTGAAAGCATCTGCAAGATATAATTCCCAGTGTTGTTCATGGAATTCCCCAGTTTCCAAGAAAACAATAAGATCATTTAAAAAATCACACAGAGTCAACCCTAAATCGAAGGAGATTTTTTAAACCTCCCAACCAACAGAAAATCGCAAGCACTACTTTGAAAGCGACCGGCACCAAACAAAATTTGGGGAGGGAAGAAACATGCTGCAACAGCTGACATGTTTCAGTCTAGTTTCTTCTCAATTTCTACAATGGAGAGGAAACCAAACAGTCCTACTTGCTCCCCGCCTCTCTTCCACTTGCCCTTAATTCACCTTCCAGCTATTGCCATCCTCCTGGGAAGAGGCGGAGAGCCGCCCTGCGCGCCACGGTCCTCCCATCGGTCAGCCGGAAAAGGAGATTCCTCTGTTCTCCGCTCTAGAAATCCAGGACTTGATTGTTTCAACACCTTTCGGCTCTGCCGCTCCCCCTCCCGTTGGATGTCAGTATTATTCATCAACCACCGATGCCGCCACTGGATTGACGGCTTTCTAGTCACCGGGTTTTACTCATTGCATGGAGCGCCCTCTAGCGACATAACGCTGAAAATCGCTCGTTGTTTGCAAGATTTTTGATCGATTTCTGTAAACGCCACTAAGTGGTTCTCGGTTCTCTTCCAATCAGTTATTCGTCTTGGCTCGGGGAAGCAAGGATAACTCCTCAAAACCTGCTTTTGCAAATTGAGGAAACTTGAAGAGTGAAGATTGAGTCTACATAGCTTTGCCAGATTAAGCCAGTTGCTGGGTCCTAAAAGTTCATGAAATACTTGAGACCTAAATGATTGCCAGCTTCATTCTATTACTGGTAATAGAATAGCAAAACCTGGGATAATCCAGAAAGTGTCCGCTAGCCAGCTTTGATCTTGAAGGAGGAGATTTTAAATCTTCTAAATGCCAGGTGATTCTGTCAAATCCCTTACAGGGGGTCACCATTAGATCAAAGCAAAGAATTGCATACACAGCAGGGCCTGGAAAAATGCGGCTTCGAAGGAAGAGGATACTGTCTATATTTGGTTAAAGGAAGTGATAAACCTTCCAAAGAAACATTTCACAGTTGCAAAAAGGATGGCATAAAACAGGTGCACACAAATAGCAACAGCACTTAGAATTATATACAGACTTTAGAGTGTTTTACAGCGCTCTCTAAGCGGTTTAAAGTCACCATATTGCCTCCAACAATCTGGGTCCTCATTTTACCCACCTTGGAAGGGTAGAAGGCTGAGTCAACCTTGAGCCTGGTGAGATTTGAACTGCCAAATTGCAGGCAGCTGGCAGTCAAAAGTAGCCTGCAGTACTGCACTCTAACCCCTGCACCACCATGGCTCAAAACTGCATAAAAACTTGCCATATGCTCCATTTGACATACCTGCCCTTCTTTTTAATTAGAAATGTTTAATGTAATAAAACATTTAACACAAAAATAAATATAGAAAATAAGATATAAACACGAAAGGAATTAAAACAACACAATTATACCTTTCCACCCTTCTTTCGATCAATTGATTGTCAACAGGCATTTGTATTTGGGAGTTTTCTCCTTGGAAATGGAGCCTGGCATGAAGTCCATTCCTTGGAGAAATCCAGACCAGCTTTTGCCTTCCAGGCTCCTCATCTCAATACAGGAGAACAGGGAGATTTTCTCTATGCACAGGTGGCAAGCAGGAACCAGATCCTCAAAGTTGAGTCTCATTTTGGGGCTCCATAGGTCAGGAAGGATCCCTCGGAATGAGACAGGACCGACTGAACAAGGTTTTCTCTGCCTGCTACACAGTTCCATTGAGGCAGCCAAAATGCAGGGCCTATTTAAGACTGGAGATCCACGGGGGCAAAATGTTCATCTGAATGCTCACCCATTCTTTTCACAGTATCGTATGCCGAGGAATACGATACTTTACTTTTCCTGTGTTTCACCAACCCGTTTCTAAAGACTTTCATCTTTAAAATGACCCTCCTTCCACCGTTAGATTGAAGGAAACTAGACAAAGGCAACATAGAACTCCACAACAATTCTCTAGGTCACCTAGCCAATCTAGCTGAGGGGATTTCACGCAACCCCTGCTTAACTGATTTCAGCACTAAGGGAAAAAAAATCTCACATGGGAATACTTTCTCTATGGCTAATTTCACTAATTTTCAGAGATTTCAGATGGGGAATGATTGGAAAAAACAATGGGACAGCCACCAGGTACAGTGCAAGTAGTCCTCAACTTTCAATGATAAATCTGATCAGAATTTTTACCCTTAAAAAAGCCACTACATAGCTTGGCATTGCCAACCTATGAAGTTCTGATTATTGTTAACTGGTAGTCACACAAGGAAACTTCCTGCCAGCTTATCATAAGAAAAGTCACTGGGAAAATCGGCAGGAAGCTGTAAGACATATGCCCAGAAGGAAGAGTGTCTCCTGTTGGGTGGAGGAGTGATAGAAGTGGATGGGCTAAATTTGGAAAGGCAAGTGAGAAATGAGGTGTCTGAAAGGAGGTGCCTAAAAGGCACCATCTGGGTCTGAAAAGGCACACAGGCTCTGCGTGAGTTGTGGAGGGTATGCAGGGTGCAAAATAGAATAGGAACGGTGCAGTGGGATGCAAGGTGATGAGGTACCTCACAGTCAGTGAGAGTGCAGAGGGGTGTTTTAGGTTCAATTAAATATGACAAAAATTAAATACAATTGGATTATTTTAAAATTCAAAAAGTTTATTACAGTGAAAGACCAATATAATAAAGGCGGGGTGTATTCAGTTAAAAAGTAGAGAAAGTAATCACAGGGTAAAAATACTAATGATGAAAACACACACACTTTGCAATGAATTTTTGCCAGTCAGCCAATGAACTCTTCCAACTTTTTCCCTTCCATTCTCGCTATGATAATGTTCCACTTTGTTCCGCAAAGACATCAGAATGTTGTAGCCTCTAACAGTCTGCATTACGGAATGATTCTCTCAGAGATCCAGAAGCTTTTGAGCTATTTCAAGCATTTTTAGTGCCTAAGCCATAAAAACAGAGGTGCCAAAAAATAACACCAAAAAGAAAGAATTAAATATGACAAAAATATAATTGGATTATTTTATAGTTTAAAAAGTTTATTACAGTGAAAGACTAACACAATGAATACGGGCAGAGGTGTTATTCAGCAGGTTCTGACCAGTTCTGGAGAATCAGTAGCAGAAATTTTGAGCAGTTCGGAGAACCAGCAAATCCCACCTCTGACTGGCTCTGCCCCCATCTATTCTCTGTCTCCCGAGTCCCAGCTGATCGTCTGGGTTTTCTTTGGTTGCCCTGCACAGGAGAACAGAGCTGGAAAGCAGGTTAGTGGGCTGGGAAGGTAATGGGATTTTGCAGTAACCTTCCCCTGCCATGCCCAGGGGTGGGATTCTACCAGTTCGCACCTATTCGCTAGAATCAGTTGTTAACATTCTAAGCAGTTCAGAGAACCGGTTGTTAGAATAAATTACTGGCCTAATCCTGTAAGGAAGGCAGGAAGGAAACATTCTGGTGTTGCTTACAGAAACTGCCTCTTCATTAACCCTTATTACATTCTTGGCAGGACTAGACTTCCTATCTCAGGAACGTCTCTGGAGTTTTTTCCCCCCTCCTTTGCTGGTACTTTGCTTGTGTGGAGTGACCATTCAAAGTTACAATGGCACTGAAAAAAGTGACTTATGACCATTTTTCATACTTATGATTGTTGCAGCATCCCCACAGTCACGAGAGGCCATGCGAGGAGATGCGTGCCTCAATGTGAGTGATATTGAGTTGGCCACACCCAGCCAATAACATGACCACCAAGCCATGTCCACCCAGTCACATGACCACCAAGCCACGCCCAGCACCTAAGCCACGCCCACAGAACCAGTTATTAAAAATTTGAATCCCACCCCTGGCCATGCCCACCAAGCCATGCCCACCAAACCACACCACACCCACCAAGCCACGCCTAGAGAACCGGTAGTAAAAAAAATTGAAACCCACCACTGAACGTAGGGTGCATTCAGTTAAAAAGTAGAGAAAGTAATCACAGGATAAAAATAGTAATTATATATAAAAAAAGAGAGACATAAATGACAGAGTATATATATAAAAACAGAGGCCTAACTGGATCTAAGAACACTGCAAGGAGCATAAGATTCCTATAGGGTGCATTAAGTTTAGCATGTGTCAGATTAAATCTATCACTCTACAGTGCACACAGTATAATCTTTAAGACTACTTTATGGCACAGGTCATCCATCATCAGACCAATTTTAAGTGCTGCTCTGCAGAACCTGGAAACATTGTACTGTATTTTGTACCAGAACAACTCTGAGAGCAGCATCTGTAGAATTGTTCTGTGCGGCCTGAGTATTTATGCAGTATTGGAAAGACAAGCCCGATATTAATGTCTGTTTAATAAAGCCCCTGGAGAAATATGTGCTTTGTAGTTTCTGTGTGTTCAGGTTCACGGGCACATTGTATTATAACCTGAGCTGTGTTATTGACAAGGGGAACCCTTGAATTCTTTGGTGTCTTCTAAATTCAGGGGGGAAAATTAGCAACTTCCACTGCTATCACACACCAGCATTCAAAGGATAACCCTCCAAGCATAGCAGGAGTTGGTAGAAAACCTGAAGATCCTACATTCAAAAACCTTGTTCTGTTTTTCTCTATATTCCAAAAACATTTGCATACCATGGTCAACAACTTTTACTTGCGAGATATTTGTGCTCTTGTTACTGCCCCAAACCTCCCTCATATGTTCTCCATTCTGTCGGTCACTGTTCTTGCTTGACTCTTCACAATCTGGATTCATCTTACCCTGAATTTCTGAAAATGTTAGGAAAAGATGAAAACTCTGCTCCCATTATCTCATATTTGGGAAGCTATAATCACTAAGTAAATCAATGTGCTCCTATCTTCTAATATATATATATATCTTAGCACCTGTAGGTTTCTTAAAATCTGTATTTTGCTTTTCTACGACCTCATTTATTCTATATGCAAAAATCATCCCCAAAAACTTTTGGCACAGTTGCATTATTTTTGCAATGGAGAATATCCACTACATTTTGCTGATAGCCAAGACACAAGTA